CCCCCCCCCCTCCCCATTGCGGACATATTGCAACTTTCTTCCGTAAAAGGCTAAGGAATAAGTGGGACACCTCCAGCTAAATATGTAATGGTTTACACTAACCTTTTAGCCAATGATCAATAGCGATTATGAGCCTCGGTTTTGCGAGGTTGGTAAAGTAGTTGTAAAGACTTCTTACGATAACGCGCACTGCATGAAATTGACAGTATCGAAGGGTCCGCTTCGGTTTAATTGCCGAATATGCACAGTTGTAGGAGCTCCGCTACAGTGACCCGTAGTTTGGCCCGTCTTCCACATTTCTGCGAACCCCCAGAGCTTTAAGGCGATAAGACTCCACTGGAACCTTGTAGGTAGATGGTCTTATCGCAATCTACTGTATCCACATGCGCACAACTGTTCGGCGGTATTCGGCATTTTGAACCCGTAAGATTTCCGGCAATACACTTACTTTATGCTAAAGATGAAAGGCTGGATGATGAATATCAACCAAGCAAAAGAAAAATGGGCATCTGCCTTCGAGAAGGTACTCAGACCAGACTGCTGCTGGTGTTATAGACTAATTGCTACTCTAGGCTTATGCGTTCGTCGAAGATGACGATAAGCGTCGCGCTCGTAAGCTATGCAACGACTTGCTTCAAGAGCCAGGCATTCACCTCTTTTACCAAGTCAAATGTCATCTAATGCTTGCTGCGCTCGCCGACATCCCTCCTGTGGCAGAAACCCCTCTTGATGAAGCTGACAAACTCTGCATTCAGCTTTACGAGAGCAGGAAGGATGGTGAGGAGGAAGAAATCCTGATATACCAAGCCATCATCGCCAGTGGGAAAGAAAATTTGGGTCCGGAAATGAAAGAATGGAAGATGGAGGAAGGTATATATTACATATCTAGCTCGGAGGAAGATTAGAGCTGGACTAGTCCCAAGCGGTGGTAGGACGATCACGAACCTCTCGCTGCTCTTCACCTGCCCATAGCGTAGATTGCCTTCAAACCTGAATATTGTTCACTGCGGCGCTTAGAGCATCCATGTCCTCCCGACCAACTGCACGTGGAGGCTGAAGAAGCATATGAGGAGGTTTGGCGAAAACATCACCTATCTTTCTCTCAGTAATTGGCTGGCGCGAGCAGGGTCAAGTGAATACCAATATTTCGTTCCCTGCAAAGCTCATAAAACCGCTGGATGGTGAATTTCGCAACTAAACACTGTGCTGGAACACAGCCATATACCAAAATTTGCCGTGACCGTGCGTACCGAACACCCTCCGGATGTTTGGCACTGTAAGTCTTCCCACCACTAAACACGACCAAGTCGTGCGATCGACCCCAGGGAATGTTGCATCTCTCAAGCCGTTCCATGCTGATGATTGCAACCCGACAAGTCGGATTTCGTAACAAACCCCTTTTTTGTGCATAAGACAACATCCATAACGCGTCGTCGCTGAACGATATCCATACGGAGGGCTGAGGCTTCTCCTCGCAATGATTTCGAAGACTTTCTGTTGTGAGGACTTTTCCATCCAGTAAATCTCTAATGCTCGCATAACGTTTGCATGATGCCCAATCAGAACAACGAAAGCCAAGGTCGCCGCTGTAGGGACTATGAGATTCCCGAGTCCACAACCGAATAAGTGTCGAGGGTCTGCGGAAAGGCTCTTCAGAAAATGCTACAGGGAATTTGTCGTCGACCCATCTCATGGCGTACACCATGCCGGCAGATACAAGATCGAATATCTCTTGCCATCGTTGCTGAGTCGACTTGAGCACATTTGCTAATGCCGCCAATTCATCAGGCACAGATCTGTCAGAGGTGTGATTGATACACTTGTCTGCAAGTACCAGAGTATCTGGATCTTTTGATGGCCGTAAATGAGGTAAATGCCACCTCTCCATGAACGCAATCTGTGCCAGAAGATTACGTATCTTGGTGGTCAAATGTAGGAGTCTCTCATTGTAACGATTCCAATTTTCTTTCTCCATGCATTCCTGGAGGGTATCATCGCAGAAGGCGACCTTCGTACATCGGGATACGATGGGTATCCCGTGGTGATCCCGTTGGACTGAATGTTCCGACAACATTTTGCACTGCCAATCTCGAGAAGCAGAATTTTAGCGATCCTCAACTCGCAGACACTGTGCAACGCAGTATCTGTTTTGCCTTGCGGCTGGCAGATGCGGGGTTATCGGGATTCGCTGCACCTTCCCTGTTAGACATGCCTACTCCATCATCGGCACCAAACGTCGCTGGAGGGAGTGATTGCGCCCCATCCGGGGCGGAGTTCTGAACAGCGACAACAGGAAACCCGTGTTTTCACCGCAGTCATCGAAGGGTGCGAACCTCTGCAAAATCATAAACCGTACAAGCAGGTCACCCTCGTCCGACTCACCTACGAATATGCGCGCTCGGAAGCGTCGAGAGACAATTTTCTGCGTTTCTTTTTCCAGCATACGCAGATCCCGACCGACGCTTCGCAGAGTGAATCGATCTCTACCTCCGACTATGGACTAAGATTGATTGCGTTTGCAGAGACGCTTATTGAGAACTTCTTTCTGCCCTGTAAGGCAATTCGGATAGCTTTTGATAGTCGACATTGATTGACATGCTATTTAGTGAGAGCCTCAACGAGAAAAACTCCTCAACCTTCACCTGCGGCCGTTTCCGATC